TTAAGCCTTTGGGTTTAAAAGTTACACTTTTTGGTTTACAAGTTATAGTGGTTTGAGTAAAATTAATGTTTTCTTCAACCTCTCTAATTAGAATTGTAGATTGTAATCTCTTACCATAACATAATTATTTACTTTATTACTGTTTTTAGAACAACGGGAGAAAGTATGAGTTGATGCATTTGGTGTTTCAAACTTCTCTATATGGATAATTATTGGTAAGCATTAAAGTTACAAGTGGGAGTGCATCTACTTATGTTAAAAGTTATGACTATTTTATTAGAAGTTATGAATATTTTATTAGAAGTTATGTTTTTATTCCATAATTTCTTTTTCATTTCAGCATCATCATAATAAAAGTTACTTATTTTAGCATAAGTTATATAAGATCACTGATTTTGATGTTTTCAACTAATGTTAATTAAAAGTTATGTATTTAGTTTTAGAAGTTTTTATTTTGGGTCTATTAGTTACAAACATATATCCATTTTATATATATTGCAGAAGATCGAAGAAAACATTCAGGCACTAAAAGAAGATGACATTGGTGCTCACAATGAAGTTATTAAAGAAGTTGATCGGCAGGGATGTACACAAGAGCACTTAACATTAAAAAGAAGAAATTGACAAGGACAACACCTCTGAAGCTAAGAAGAAAAAGGTGAAACATATCAGATATGATAGAGGCCACTCTGTTAAGAAGCTGAAATTTTGTTTACTTATTAATGTTTTTTTGTTGCAAATAGAGTTGAACACAACGCCCTTAACCTTTTTTAAACAAAGGGCCCTTATAGGTATTAGTAGGAAGTAATATGTAATAATTTTGAACCATAATGATATGCACTAATTAGTAGTGCATAAGTGTATGTTTTTATGTTGGATTTGTGTGTATTGTTTATCGTTTTATTTAGTTTGTAAACATTTGTGTGATTTTAGTTGCAATTGTATTTAATCTTCATTTATAAGTTGTAAAGTAGATTTAGGATTTAGGGTGTTGGAAAAGAGGACTTTGAAGAGAAGAAAACAAGAAATTTGACGGCCCAGGAGCAAAACCCGATCGGGTAGAAATCCCCACCCAGTTGGGCAAGATTAACAACCGAAGAAGCAAGGAAACTGCCAGACCCAGTCGGGTCAACTAAGCCACCCGGTCGGGTCAGACATGACCCAGGACAAATCGACGTGCAGAAACATGAGAACATGGCGGATTATTTGATTTTGACCGGACCCGGTCGGGTAAGTACTTGACCCGGTCGGGCACCCGGCCAAAGGTGTTGAAAAACACCTATAAATAGCACACTTTTTCTTCTTTAAAAATCATCACTTCTTCTATACTCTTAAGTTCAGTTTAAAATATCATTTCTTTATATGTTTCTAGCTATGTTTAGTCTCCAAATGAGGAGCTAAACCTCCAATTCTTGATGTTGCTCTTGAATCTTGTTGATTATTAAAGTTGTGAGTTAGTTTCTTAACTTCTTCTCTTGAATATTAATTATTAGTTCTTTCATTAATACTCTCTCTATATTAATGTTGGGGAGTGTTGCTAAGATGAACATTAATTAACATCTTGACATTAGTTAGAGTAGTATTTTCTTCCTCTATATTAATGTTGGCAGTGTTGCTAAGATGACAATTAGTTAACATCTTGATATTATTATAGTAGGATTCATCTCCTTTAATAATATTCTTCCTTGAATATAAATTAATTCCGATTCATATTTCATATTATTATTTTGAACATTACTTAAAGGATCAACTAGTTTTGTTTCATATATTAATTATTACCAGAAACGATCGACGAACCGATGGTTAATCGTTGATGGTTTCACAAGTAAGTAACTTCGGTTTATTAATGCACGGTCGTGGTTGATAAACTTAAGAGGGACTAATTTTGTTGGTTAAACCGAAACCGTTGTGTTGAGGTTATCAATCTCAATTGATTTCATCAAGGAGTTAAGCGATTAAATGCTACTATCAAGTCGGTATATGGCGGTGTTCTATACTTGACTAATAGTAAGGGTTATTAATGAACGGTCGTTGTTAATAACTACCCTCGATGAATTGGATATACTCCTCGATTGAGTATTTGAGAGGGAATAAGTTATAGATATAACAATGATCGACTAAAATATATCAAAAAGTGGAATGTAGCAATGCCAAGTTCTTTTATCTTTGAATTAAAACACATATAGGTTGTTCATCTTAGTTTTTAAATTAAATCATTCAATCCCAAAACCCCCCTTTTATTTACTAGCTTCATAAAAAGAGAATTATTCTTTTCCACGTGGATACGAACTCTACTTCACCTATACTACGTATTAGTGCTAGTATGAATTTATTTTGACGCACTACGACAAAGTGCACGTCATGTAACACTCATTTTATTTGTCTATATATTTATGTAATTTGTTTTTCAATGCTTTGGGTTTATGGTTTTAGATTCCTTGTTTGGATGATTTATTTATAGAGTATTGGTGGTATGAAAGTTGCTTATGAAATCAAATCAATTTCATTCTTTATTGCTACAGTTAGCAGTTGCTTACTCCCTGCCTATAAGCACCTGCCTATAAGCAATTATGCTTACTTCTTGCTTTGTTCGTCTTTACGGATTTGGTCTTTGCTTGTAGTTTTATTTTTTTTTTGTCGCTAAGCAAGCAAGAATACCACCATAATCTTCACTACAAACAAATTTATTGCATTATCACAAAGACAAATACAAATGCAATTCCATTACACAGACGGACAGACCAGACTGATTAGTCCAACACTTCACGCAAATACTAGAAAACTTCAATAACCACCACAGAGACGGAGACCAAGGTGCAGGGTGGACTCTTTCTGGATGTTGTTTGTAATCAGCCAAGGTCCTCCCATCATCCGGCGGTTTTTCCAGCAAAGATTAACCTCTGCTGATCTGGCGGGATCCCCTTCTTGTCCTGAATCTTAGCATCCACTTTCATCTTTATTCATCCCGGTTTTGGCCGCCTCCAAGGAGAAGTAGCCAGCTGCTTTGAATCTTTCTACATAAACAGCGCTGCACTCATGCTCAACCATCCAAACTAGCTATTCCTTTCGAACCACAAACCCCTGGGCAAGATGTTGAACTCTGCCCCTTTCTTCATGGTCAAAAACATAAATCATAAAAATGGCATTATCACCTATATGAAACAACTAGCATCGGCACACACTTTGCGCGAGGGTTGATGTCCAATAGCAAACATTTGGCCAATATGAAGGGAGCAAAATTAATACATAATTTACCAAACGGGCTCTTAAAGAGGTAGTTCTTGAACAAGATACTAAGAAAATCAGTAATACACTGTTAATAAGATTCTAAGAAAAAGTTGAACACAAGTATAAGTATGAACAATCCGTAGTTGAAGACAACGTCGTCAAGAGGGTAAATCTGTTCTCCACCAAAGAACACTAACCAGTGCAGTAAAGTTGTCGGTGCGGTGTGAAGGCAGACCAACGTCCCCAAGAGGGCAAAACTTGTTCTCCACCAAAGAACACTAACCAAAGCAGTAAAGTTGCGCTGCCGGTGCAGTGGGAAGGTGGACGGACGTCCCAAAGAGGATGAACCTATTTCTCCACCAAAGAGGATAGACGGTCGGACACGAAGATACAGTGAATAAGGCATCACGCCCGGAGCCTCAGAATACGGCAAACAGCCACTTGAGTTCAAACGTATTCATTAGAATACCTAGGATTTTGAAAAATGTGGTAGTATACATGTATAAATTTAGTTTAATTATTTATTGTGTTTTAAAATTTTAATTATGGAAAAAAATGAACACCCAAAATTTTATTGTGAAAATCACACTATTTCTCCCTGAAAGAGTCGTCATATTGAAAATGTCAGACCCGTATTTCTTAAATTGTAAATGCCACCCCTCAATTGTCCAACTTGTTGTAAATGTGGTCCTTTGAGGGGTGAAATGTACTCCTCGCCCACATTGTACATTTCACCCCTCAAAGGACAACATTTACAACAATTTGGACAATTGAGGGATGACATTTACAAACTTAGCTTGAGAACACGGGTCTGACATTTCAATATGGAGGCTATTTGAAGGACTAAAAGTGTGATTTTCCAAATTTTATTCATAGATCCGCCACTGCCAGGGGCATAGGCTAAATGCAGTACGGTGGAGACAGTTTCATTTCTTCATGTCCCGCGCATGCTCGGAACATCAGAAGTGGGGGACTAGTGTTGGATTAATGGCCCAACAGGGATCGACCCATCGACCCATAAAGTGCACACCGAACGTCCGTCTCCTAAACCCAGGCCTCCTGGTGAGACCCCCTAGGAACATCCCAAGGAAGAGAAGAGGAGAGTGTCGGCCCCACAGGGGATGTCTGGCCCCAAGATACCAAACCCAAAATGTGTACACCAAGCATTGCCGTTATGGAAGCTTTTGTGAAGCTTTTCTGCTTGGGCCCTCCAAATTGCTCGTATGCTCCATTGCTCCGTATAATAAAGAACGTTGTGCATTCTGTGGGAATTTCCATTTGCATTTTGGATATAAGAAAAAGGTGGGTAAGCAATGATCTCTTCTTATTTTTGAAAATATTATATTTGTGCACATACATATACTCATCCGTAAATAAAATATTTATTTACCAAAATTGAGGAGAAAAGCTTATCAAAATTGTACAAAATCATTCATATTAGGAAAGAGATAATCTATATGCTAATATTTATGTGACTATCCCGCATCTCACTTGTGCACATTGTAGCATTGGAGATGCTCTAATCCGTATGATCAACAGAGTAAATCCCCATTAAATAATACTCTACATTTATTAGGTACAATATAAATACTATATATCGTACTCAGTATTAAATTAGACTTTGAAACAGTTCACTAATTAACATAATTGTAACAACAACGTAACTTCTATTAGCTAGACTTGTAACCTAAATGTTACTAGTGATAGATGCATGCATACATAAATTCGATTTAAAGCGGAATTTTGCAATTTTATGAATGTGAAAGCGATACCCGTGAAGTAACTTTATTGTTTCACATTAATGTTCATATAAAGGGAAATGAAAATGTCAAATGTGAGCATCTCTTTCATTTTATTACTAGGACTGCTTTTATCAGGAAAAGTGAGGCTCTCGTTATGTGATCTAAAATGCTCAAAACCGGAACCATATAATGAGTGTTGGAAGCTTATAATCCAATATATTCAAAATGATGGAAATAATGGGCGTGTTCCTCCACCCATCCTTCCTTTTCCTGATTGCTGCCCTGAGGTTAGAGACTTGGGATTTGAATGCTTTTGGTTTTGGGTGGATCACGAAAATGCTAAAATGGGATACAGAGAATATGATGTCGAAGTAATCTACTACAACACTAATGATACATGGAACTTTTGTCAAGAAAAGTCAAGTCTCAGAAACGTATAAATCCTGTAATGAGCTGATTTTGTTAATTTACTTTCAACTTCGGTTTATGTAGTTAAATATGGTATCTAAATATATTAAGCACACATATACTCCCTTGGTTCCGCAACTGAATTCCCAATTTGACTTTTACAATCATTTAGGTTTGAAGTTTGACTTTAAATATATTAGCCATACATACTCCCTCCACCCCAGAATTGAATTCCTAATTTACTTTCAACTTCAATTTATGTATTTAAGTATCCTATATAAATATATTAGATACATCGATAATTTATAATCAATCTTGATCTTTGATTTCATATATTTAGTGGTTAGATTTTATATATTCTCACTTCTTTGTTGGGGCGACTCTTTTCTAACGGGAACCGCTCTCTATATATAATACAAACATGCACATTTTATTCGATTTGAGCACTTTTTGAACTTTTTTGAGCAATATGAATAATGCAATATATACTTAAGAAGGTGGTATATATTTTAGTAAATTAAGTAAAAAAATTGTCAACACGAACAAGTGCCACATTGAAATATCTATCAGTGCATTGAAATCTATAAGTGCATCTGATTAGCGAAAACGTGAGTATTTTGATAATTAATAAATGATTTTTATTTATAGAGGTTTAGGTATAGTGTTTTACAAACGGTTCAACTCAGCTTTCAAGGAATAGTTACAATAATATCAATAAACACATGGTAATAACGAGGCAAATATATATAGTGCTACGTATTAAGGATGTTTTCTAGCTTTATATATGATCTAGTATGGTCTGCTTAAATCGTGGCTGGTCTCGTCTAAACTGATATGGTGTAGCCTAATCGAAGTAGGTTAGTATATGTGTATTTTATAATCATCGAAGTCTCATCCGGTTTATTTGTGTTTGATATGATCTGGTCTAATATGCAAGTAAAATAAGTCCAATTAAAAGCATATAATTGTATTGACTTACTAAGTTACGTACTAACCATTTAATTCTATAATTTTCCCTTCATACATTCACGATCAGAAACTTTCATGATATTCACTTAGTTGTAATGGCTCATAAGTGAGGATCCATAAAATATACAGTACTCCGTAAATCTGTAATACAGTGCTAATAAGTACTATCCTCCGTTCTGTTTTAATCGCAACATGTTGAATTTTACACTATTCACATGCTCAACTTTGACTACATTTTACGCTATTATTTTATGAAAATTATTATTTTTAAAAAATATTGTTCGATTCATCTCATTACAAATTTTCAAAATCTGATTTTTAATATTTTTTTACTAATAGAATTAAGATATAATTACGGTCAAACACGTGCGTTGGTAAATGTGAAATGTTGACCGTTTCAACTAAAAAAGAACGGAGAGAGTAATAAGATACTAAGAACAAGTTGAACACAAGTATAAGTACGGACAATCCGTAGTTGAAGACAACACCTGACGCTTTATCATTCGCTTTATTGTCATTTGGAACCAAGCTCGAGGAACAATTATAGGGACATGAATATTTGTCGATTACTTGAACACTTTTTCGACCAAAATACCACTCTCCAAATAATTTTGAAATTGTCTGCAAAGATCAAGAAAATTAAGATCTCATAACTCATTCCTTATTTGATACTCCATACTTCGTACTCCGTATATGCTAAAAAAATAAGAGGTGTACTGTACGAACTTATTAATTGCTCCTTATAAGATAAAATATCATGTGAGAAGTCTTCCTTAGGCTGAGAAGCTGCAAAGTCTAACTTATAAGCTAAAAACATGAACTTTTAACCAATAAATCATAACTTATAGACCCCCTCCAAAAAAATTACGAAAATGACACCGCGTCAAAATAACTCCAGAAATCTGGAAAATTTTTTTGCTTTTCGTAATTAATTTTGAGGGGGTCTATAAGTTATGATTTATTGGTTAAAAGTTCGTGTTTTTTGCTTATAAATTAGACTTCGCAGCTTCTCAGCATAAGGACACTTTTCGTAATTAGACTAAACTTGCAAGTAACTAAAGTTACGGGACTAACTGGACTAATAATGAAAATGGTAAAAAGTTAAAAGACTAAAATTGCAAATCCAAGCTATGAGATCTTAATTTTTGACTGAAATAAATAAATATATATATATATAAATATATTTATATATTTATATATATATATAAATATATATATATATATATATAAATATATATATAAATATATAAATATATTTATAAATATATATATTTATATATATATATAAATATATAAATATATATATTTATATATATATATAAATATATAAATATATAAATATATTTATAAATATATAAATATATATATATATATATATAAATATATAAATATATATAAATATATATATATATATATATAAATATATATATTTATATATATATATAAATATATAAATATATAAATATATTTATAAATATATAAATATATATATATATATATATATATATTTATATATATATATAAATATATAAATATATTTATATATATATATATTTATTTATTTCAGTCAAAAATTAAGATCTCATAGCTTGGATTTGCAATTTTAGTCTTTTAACTTTTTACCATTTTCATTATTAGTCCAGTTAGTCCCGTAACTTTAGTTACTTGCAAGTTTAGTCTTGTGATTAAATCTTTGCGATATACGGACATTTCCCCAGAAAAGTACATTTTTTGGCAAAAAATGCAATGCCGGCGGCATCTTTTAGGTATATTTTTGCCGGAAAGTGAAAGAAAATGTCTTTAAATCGCAAAGGTTAGTTACAGGAACAAACTTGTAACTGATTAAAGTTACGGAACTAATAATGAAAACAGTCTAAAGTTGTTGACTAAATATATATATATATATTTATTTATTTATTTATTTCAGTCAAAAATTAAGATCTCATAGCTTGGATTTGCAATTTTAGTCTTTTAACTTTTTACCATTTTCATTATTAGTCCAGTTAGTCCCGTAACTTTAGTTACTTGCAAGTTTAGTCTTGTGATTAAATCTTTGCGATATACGGACATTTCCCCATAAAAGTACATTTTTTGGCAAAAAATGCAATGCCGGCGGCATCTTTTAGGTATATTTTTGCCGGAAAGTGAAGTTTTCCGGGAAAATGTCTTTAAATCGCAAAGGTTAGTTACAGGAACAAACTTGTAAATGATTAAAGTTACGGAACTAATAATGAAAACAGTCTAAAGTTGTTGACTAAAATTGCAAATCTTACATTTCAAAATACAAATCGTGGTGGCATTGAATGAAACATTGAATGAAACTAGAGATGGCAACGAGGCAGATTGGGGCAGTTTTACATATAACCATACCCGTCTCGTTGGGTAATTCCCCTGCCCCGTAACCGCCCCATTACCCAACGAGTAAGTTTTACCCAAACTATTACCGCCCCAATTCAAGGGGTAACGGGTATAACCTCGGGTAACCGTGGGTAATCGCTTTATTATATAAATCATGGCGAAATTCATAAGAATAATCCCTACTTTTAGGGATTTTACAATAATAATCCCTACTGAGAATGTCTATAAAAATAATCCGAACTAGCAATAGTGTCCACAAGAATAAATTGGAGTGAATTCAAATTAATGTCCATTTAATACTATCAATCCCTACTTTCATTTTTCTCTTCATCGTTCTTCTTATCGAAGTGAAGTAAAACTAAAACTCATTTAATCTTAATGTCATTTCCGCCATATGTGGTTCTTTCTAGGATAGAAGATAGAAGTGTTACCAAAAAAGAAGAGTGATGAAGGGGAAAGTAGAGGTAAGATTTGGGATAATTAAATGGGAAATAATTTTAATTTACCTCAATTTATTCTTGTGGACACTAATGCTAGTTCGGATTACTTTTAGGAATACTCTCAGTAGGGATTACTATTGTAGAATTGAATCCCTAAAAGTAGAGATTATTTTTGTGGATTTCGCCATAAATCATTGATATTTTAATATAAAAATAATATTTTGAAAGGCGAAAAAGGTATCACCTAGACGACTCTAGACTCATACGCTACTTTAAAGTTTTGTATATTTATAAGATGAGAAGGAAGACAATCTAAATTAAATTGTACCTAAATATACTTAATATGAAAAATAATTAATCACGAAAAATATATGATAATAATCAAACAAGACTATTAAGATTTATGATGAATTTTCATTCATATATGTACTATATATAATTAAAACATCTATTATTTATATATACCCAACGAATATAGAAAAATCTGATCTTTTAGTAATTGTGAGATAAATAATAGATAAAAAAGTAATAAAAATATAGCCAAAAATAATCGGCACTGGTACGGGAGGAGTAATGTGGCGCGCATGTATAAAACCGTAACTCCCCCGTTACCCATATAGTAAAAACAAATTGGGTATTCCCCGCCCTCTACTCATTACCCAGTCAATACGGTTTTCGCCGTTTTGACTGGGACGTTTCGGTGCAGGTATCCATCGGTTCGGTCACAATTGTCATCCCTAAATGAAACTGTTGAAATAAATGTGTATCATTTAATTTTAAAAGAGCAATAATACATAATAATCGTGCAGCAATAATTGTACAAAATAATGCTCATAAATAAGTAAATAAAATATGTGGTAGCTAGCATTTTTTATATAAACACACCATTCCCTCATATCAAGAACAAAATGCGCCTCACTATTAAATATTGTATGGTTTAGTTATATTTATGACTATACCACTCTATTTAAATAAGTAACTAGTATTATACCCGTGTGATGCACGGGAAAATATATTTCTCATATGAAAAAGTAAGTTTTCGAATAACACATATACATATACTCCGTAGTTTATAATTTTCCCACATAAGAATTCAAATTATTGTAATTGTGATCCTTTGAGTAATGACATGTACAATGTTGGTGAAACTCTAATTTACAACGATTTAGACAAATGAATGATGACATTTACACACTTAAAAATACGGGGACTAAAATTCAATATGAGCACTATTTGAGGGATGGAAAGTGCGACATTCTCATTTTTTACATAAATTAAACAATTTTCTGTTTTTGTGATGAATGATACATTTTTAATACTTTTGTATGATCAATCATAAACCGAATACTTTTCTAGTATAACACATAATTTTATTGCAAATCGTTACACCAAAGGAATTCACTCAAAAATGGGAAGTTTTATTTGATTATATTTTAAATAAATATGATTTCAAATATTAAAAGAGAATTATTTCCAAGGTATAATCAAGTGTTATGAAGATTTACAATATGTATTTTACGGCTCTTCTAATTGAAACATGAGTTTCAGGAACTGCACTTAAGCCTAACATATGTAAGGTTTTATTTCTAATAAGAATTTTACTTTTAACAATATATTATTGTATTGATGTCAAAATTAAATAAATGTTGTAAGTTAAATCTCCATTTAAGTTTTAACACTACCTTAATAAAAAAAATCTAGCTACACTCAACAGTACTACTACGTATATATCAAGAGTTATGTAATACTTGCCTTTTATTTAAATACTTCGTATGTAATTATATCCAAATAGTTTTGTAATTATGAGAAAGTTTATTAAATAATGTTGCTTCTGATTCGATATATGTCATACTTCTTTTAATGTTTTCATTTTAATTGTGTCTAAATCAACAGTTCATCAGTGTCTTCAATGATATAAAGGTAGATAAAACTAACACATATGTGGCAATGAGCCAATGAAATAAGTCTTAGAAATAGCAAAAAGTTATCTTTATAGAAATTGCTATAAATAGGAGCAAAAACGTTTTGAAATTCCAAAAGAGGAGTATCATGATTTTTATTCCCTGATTAGGAGTAATCTGCCAAGTTTGAAAAAAAGTCATGTTTAAAACCTAATAATACCAAATTTGGCAGAAATTTGTTCATATTCAAGGAATGTGGGTGCATTCCCCAAATAGGAGTAAAACATAGGCAAAATGCAAAAATAGGAGAACCATGTTTTGAATAGGAGTAACTTTAGTGTTTGGACAAGTATACCCCTACCCAAACCCCAAGCTCCAACAAATTTCATTAATAGTTAAAACATAAAAGAAATACTCCGTAAGATTAATTAATTTATAATAAAATTCTAAAAAAACACAAAAATATAAAATAAAATATACTCCGTATTAAATAAAATAAAAAATTATTATAATAAAAAAGTAAAAATAAAAAATAAAAAAAAAATAAAAAAAAAATGAAAAAACTATAAAAAAAATATGTAGGCATTTGCCGCTGCCTCAACAACCTCCCAGCACCACCAACTCCGACCACCGAAAAAAATGCCAACATTTTCCCGAAATGCCATCAAGATGGCAGATTTTGAGAAAATTTGGCATTTTCAAAGAGTAAAACTGCCATCTTTATGGCATTTTCAAAGAAAAATGACAGTTTTTACATAAAATGACATTTTTTACGCCGATCGGAGGTGACATTGCTGGGTGATGACCGAGGCTGCGGGAGGGGCCTGCATAATTTTTTTTATATTTTTTAATGCAATTTATCTATTTTTTATTTATTTTTAAATTTTTTTATTTTTACAAAAAATACATTTTTTAATATTTAATATTTTAATATTGTTGGGATGAACTTAGATTATTTTAAAAATTAAATGGCCTGCATAAAGGTTTCATTTCTAGTGAATGCACTTAGATTTTTTTAATAGGATCAAATAAGTTACTCGTATATTTTAGAATTAACTAAGTTAGGGATATTAAGGGTACAAAATTAATGTTTACTCCTAGTGAAGAAAGTTTTAAGTTTTTACTCCTATTTGTACAATTATATTTATGTCTACTCCTATGTAAAATCAGAAGAGGATGGAGAGGTATTTTTTGTATATTGATTCGCATGATCTCTACGGATCCATGCAAAATATATATGTAAAGCATGCGTAGTAACGCATGGTAAGAGTTAACTGCTTGCCTCAGTTGTGGAGCCAAAAGAAGGAAAGAAATACAACATTCCTATTCTATTTCTAATACTACGTACATACACAAAACGTGACATAATAAAATTATGTACATAAAAATAATACGGCTAATAATATGGCTGCCAACACCCCCCCTCAAGATGGAGCATGGGGGTCGCAAATGCCCATCTTGCCAAGCAAGTAGTCGAATTGTTGTGCGCCAAGAGCCTTAGTGAGCAAGTCTGCGGGTTGTTCATTAGTAGGCGTGTAGGAAGGTGCGACAGTACCAGACTGAATATGATCCCGTATGAAATGACAATCAAGCTCAATATGTTTGGTACGCTCGTGATAAACTGGATTGGAAGCAATATGTAACGCGGCTTGATTGTCACAGTAGAGGCGAGCGGGTCCGGAGTGTGTGACCCCTAATGAGCGGAGTAAATTCCGTAGCCAAATAAGCTCACAAGTCAAGGATGCCATGGATCGATATTCAGCCTCTGCAGATGAACGGGAAACAGTGGCCTGTTTTTTTGTACGCCACGAAACGGGTGAAAATCCTAAAGAGACAAAGTAGCCGGTGACGGATCGACGAGTGATCGGGCAACTAGCCCAGTCGGCATCACAATAACCAGTGAGAGAAAGGGAGGAATCCGAGCGTAACAAAATTCCCTGTCCAGGCCTTCCTTTAAGATATTTGAGCACCCGAAGTACTCCCTCCCAATGAGCCAACCGTGGACTTTGCATAAATTGTGAGAGAATATGAACAGAGTAGCAGATGTCAGGCCTGGTCAAAGTCAAATAAATAAGCTTCCCAACTAGCCTCCGATATCGCTCCGGATCGGAGAAAAATGGACCAGTATCGGACTGCAGACGATGATTTTGCACCATAGGAAAGGTAACCGGCTTACATTCAGATAAACCTGTCTCAGCTAGAATATCAAGCACATATTTACGTTGACACATAAATATCCCCGTGCTATTTCGTGCAACCTCAATCCCAAGAAAATATTTCATGACACCTAAATCCTTGACAGGAAATGTGGTGCCAAGATACAATTTAAACTGATCAATCATAGAGCGGTCATTACCAGTGATCAATAAGTCAACCACATATATGAGCACACAAAGGATTTTATTATCCTTGCGTATGGTGAACAAGGAGTAGTCGGCGTGTGATTGTGTGAACCCATAATTTCGTAAGCACGTCGTTAATCGAGAAAACCAACATCTTGGTGCCTGTCGTAGTCCATAAAGTGATCTAAGCAATCGACATACCTTTCCAGAAGATGATGTGGAATAACCTGGTGGGAGATGCATGTATACCTCCTCGCGAAGATCCCCATGAAGAAAAGCATTATCTACATCCATTTGATGTAGCTCCCAATGACTAGAAGCCGCAACTGCTAAAATGGTACGCACCGTGACCATTTTAGCAACAGGTGCAAAAGTCTCACTATAGTCAATTCCATGTACCTGGCGGTTCCCACATACAACTAGGCGTGCTTTATATCGCTCCACCGACCCGTCACTTTTGTATTTGATCTTGTAGACCCACTTGCAATAAATTGCTTTCTTCCCCGGTGGTAAATCTTGAATCTGCCACGTGCCAGTGCGTTCGAGGGCCCGAATTTCGCTATTCATGGCATCCCGCCATTGTGGGTCCCGAACGGCTTCACCAAAACTAGTGGGTTCCTTGGTCATGGAAATAGCTGCAAGAAAAGCTCGGTGCGGAACCGAAAAATGATTATATTTTATATAATGAGATAGTGAATAAGGATTACCTGAATCGGCCGGAGAAGTAGGACGGACGTCGGGGTGAGAGTTTATTTTAACCGTGTTCAATTGTACATCATAATCCCGATGCCACGTAGGTTCCTTACGTGTACGTACACTTCTTCTAGTCGGGCTTGTATGCGTGGAGGGCGTACTGATCACCATGTGGTCTCCATCTCCAACTTCCACGGTGTTGTGCAATTGATGGTTAGCTGTCCCTTCTGACTGGGAAGATACTGGGTTCACTGGTTGGCATGTATCCAATGCTACACATGTGCCCTCCTGCACATCATCATCATCTCCCACACGTACATGGGTCTCCCATGCAAAAGAATCCACCTTTGTAGCCTCTGGGTTGGTCAAAGTGGGTTCCCCATGTTGGAAGGGAAATTCATTCTCAACAAATTTAATATCACGAGAAACAAAATTACGTCTTTGCTGCAAATCATATACCTTCCAGCCCTTTTGGGAGTAAGCATAACCCAAGAAAACACACTTCACACCACGTGGAGCAAATTTATCTCCTCCGGTATTTGGCTCATGCGTGTAACATAGACAACCAAAAACCCGAAGTTGACTATATACCGGTATTTTGTTATATAGTAGTTCGTAGGGGCTTTTATTATCCAGCACGGGTGAAGGTAGTCTATTAATCAAATATCCTGCGGTGAGCACACACTCGCCCCAAAACTGAATGGGCAAATTTGCATGAAAGCGAAGAGTCCGGGCCATTTCCAATATATGCCTATGTTTCCGTTCTACCCTGCCATTTTGTTGTGGGGTGTATACACAAGACGTTTGAAAAATTATCCCATTAAGCAAAAAATATTCTTGCAGACCAATAAACTCCTTGCCATTGTCACTTCTCACAATTTTCACATTTTTGTCAAATTGACGCTTAGTCATGGCAATAAAGTTTTTAAGAATATTTTTTACTTCACCCTTGTCACGCATCAAGTGGACCCACACAGTCCTAGAAAAATCGTCCACCACAGTCAAAAAGTAACGTGCACCACATGTAGACAAAACACGATACGGACCCCAAACATCACAATGTATTAATTCAAAAGGTTCAACAGCTCTAGCTCTACTAACAACAAATTTATCGCGAGTTTGTTTGCCTCTCATACAGGCATCACATATTTTATTTCCAACAGAATCCAACAAAGTTTTATTCGAATAACCTAGCAAACGCATAACTTTTATTGACGGATGTCCCAACCTCGAGTGCCACAAATCGCCTGAGTCTGAACTTTCCACTGCATGTGCCTGTGCTTGATCCAAACCCCGGAAAAAATAAACTCCCCCTCGTCGTTCACCCACTCCAATCGGCATCTTCGTAGGTAGGTCCTGTATTACACATAAATCATTAGTAAAAAATATGTCACATTTTCGGTTATCAATTAACTTCCCTAAGGAAATCAGATTGCATTTTAGTCCAGGCACAAACAAAACGTTGACCAATTTTAGACATGCACTGATCGAAATACTCCCCACATGAGTTGCTTTGGTAAATTCTCCATTAGGCAAAGTTACTGCCACCGGTGCAATTTTGACTACTTCCGTCAGAACGTCGTTATATCCGGTCATGTGATATGAAGCTCCGGAGTCGAGAAGCCATTCATTATTAATATTCATACCTGAGAGTTTTTCCTCCGTTGGAGCAGCCTTACAATTTTCCATCATTCTGAGGAAAGTTTGCCATTGTTCATCACTGAATCCAGGTTTATGCAACGTACCATCCTTTGCTCCTTGGGAGAGGTTCCCATCATTCTGGAAATCACCACCCACATGCATAGCATGAACTGGTCCACGTCCAGTTCCACGTCCGGATCCTCCACGTCCAGTGCTGCCGCGGCTTGATCCTCCACGCCCTCTACCGCTGCGTGCTCGGCCCGGATTATCATGCCACCATTCCGGGTAAATTCCAGTGCGGCGGAAGCAATTTTCAACTTCATGTCCGCTTTTGTGACAATAAGTGCACTGAACCCGTTCATCCTTCCCGGCAGAAGGTCCGCCGCGAGCTGCAAACGCCACTGCCTCCATTTTTTCTTCTCTCCCTCGAGTCAAGCTTCGGTGTCGTTCTTCTTGTATCACCATATGATACACTTTAGTCAATGATGGAAGGTCATCCGCACTAAGTATGTTGGACCGCAAATTTCCATAAGTCTCATGATCGAGACCCATAAGGAAATCATGTATTTTCTCCGTTTCAATGTGTTTGAGAAATAATTTTTTGAGGTCGCACGTACAGCCGTTGCAAGTGCATTGAGGAATACTCTGAAGCCCATCATAATCATCCCATAAACCCTTGAGTTGGCCAAAATAGGCAGTGATGGGCTGCCCTTGTTGGCGGCAATTCCGGATCAATTCCTTCAACTCGTGGGTTCTCATTGCATCTCCAACCGCGAAACGCGCCTCCATGTCGTTCCACAGGTCATACACGCTGTCCATATAGGCCAAATTAGTCCGTAGCGCTGGATCCGCCGACGTCATAATCCATCCTACCGCCATAGAATTGACGGTTAGCCAGTCCTCGAGATCCCTCTCGTTGTTCACGGGTCGTTTTATGGTCCCATCAAGAAACCCCAATTTCCGTTTTGCACGGAACGCATTTTTCATCGCCGTAGCCCATTCACGGTAGTTGCTCTCGCCCTTGAGAACCACTGCACAAATGTGCAACCCAGGAAAGTCCGAACTCGACAAATAGTATGGTGATGAGGGATCATTAATTCGCCGTCGTTCACCATGGTCTCGGTTTCCTTCTCCACCGTTGTTTCCTGTCTCGCCGGCCATCGTGCTGTCACGTCTGTTTGTTTTCTTGGTCCCAGATCAATGCTCTGATACCATGTAAAATCAGAAGAGGATGGAGAGGTATTTTTTGTATATTGATTCGCATGATCTCTACGGATCCATGCAAAATATATATGTAAAGCATGCGTAGTAACGCATGGTAAGAGTTAACTGCTTGCCTCAGTTGTGGAGCCAAAAGAAGGAAAGAAATACAACATTCCTATTCTATTTCTAATACTACGTACATACACAAAACGTGACATAATAAAATTATGTACATAAAAATAATACGGCTAATAATATGGCTGCCAA